CACGCCCTGCTCCTGGGGCAGCAGCTCCCAGGCCAGCAGCAGTTTGCTGGGGGGGATGCTCAGCAGGGACTCAGGCACGGGGACCCGTCTCCTCACTTTGGTGCCCTCCTCATTCACCTCCAGCAGCTCTGAGAACTGCAGGGCGTAGAGCGTGAGCCGCCAGTCACGCGTCAGGTATTTCACCTGCGGGAGAGAGGGGCCACTATGTCCCCATGAGTCTCCCCAGGCAGGGACCACCCTAAACCTGGCATCCAGGCAGGCTGCAGCCCCAGCAGCCTGAAGTCAGGGCAAGGCAATCCCCCCCCTTCCACCTGAGGATCTTCAGGGTTTGCAGGAGAAGGTCCCCAGAGCCCCCTGGACCGTGGCAACAAGATACAGCTTGCCCATACATCACACTGCCAGCGCTTCCCTGTGGCTTTTTGGATGAGGAATGACCTCTCCAAAAGCAGCCCAGGGGAACATGGGCAGAAGAGGTGAACCCAGCCCTGGGGATGCTTTGAGGACTGTTCACCCCTTCCCCAGCCACCCTCCCGGGCAGGAGAACTGTTGCAGCACGCTGAAGGCAAAGGGCAGAGCCAACCAGTGCTTTGCCAGGACACAGAGAGCCTGAGAAGAGCCTGGATCTCCCCATAAACCCCACCAGAAACAGCCAGAGCACACCCGGACATCCAGACATCCTTCACACAAAGGTCACTTCCCACCCAGCTGGCCGGCGCCACGGGCTGCTCACCTTCTTGAAGGACGTCAGCAGTTTGATGCTGACAAAGCCCATCTTGTTCTTCTGGACATGTTTCAGGAGGAAAGCATCCTTTGCCAGATTCTCATCAGAGAGATAGAACTCCACCTGGGACACGATCCTCCGGACGAGCTGCGGGTCAGGGCTGGAGCAGTTGGAGTCCAACACATCGGTCCCCAAAGCATTGCTCACATCACAGAAGCTCCTGGCAGAGCAGGAGGGACACAGGCGTGAGTTGGTGGCCTTCTGGACGTGCAGCACTGCCTGGTCCCTGCCCCAATGCTGCAGATAGCAGAGACACCGGAGTGACGCAGGGCCATCAGCTTTGCCCTGGTCACACGGGAGCAACGCCAGCCTGCACGCCGCAAGCCTCCCTGTGCCGGGACCACCAGTGCCAGACCATGGAGCTGAACCCATCCCAGACATGGGACACATTCACTTGGGGACAAACAGCAGGTAAGAGCTGGGCTGAGACCCCACGCCCATCCCAACGGCCGCATACCCGTTGAAGCTCTTGAAGAAGTCCTCCTGGCTGAGCAGGGCAGGTGAGCGGCTCGGCGGTGAAAGGAGATGCAGTGCTGGGAAGGAATTTCTTTGCACGGGCAGAAGGGTGCTGCAGCTGGGCTGGGAACTGAGCCCCAAGGCCACCCCAGAGCTACGTGATGACATCATCCTTCCTTCATCTGGGACATTACACGGGAGAAGGACAGTGCTGGGACGCTTCCCGCCCACCGCCAGCCCCAGGGCAGAGCCCTGCTCCAGGCTGCAGCCCCCAGCCCAGGGATGGGGGAGCAGAGGCAGCCCCTTGCCATGCCCTTACCTGCTTGGCAGCGCTGGGAAGAGTAGAAAATTCTTGCACTACATCCCAGAGACCTGCAGGCACCAGGCTCCAACCCTGCCCACCTCCACACAAAGGCTCTTAAAAGACAAAGAGAAAATAAAGGAAAAGAAAGAAAGAAAAAGCCCTTTAGAGCAGCTAGGCTGCTGGTTTATAAGAGCAGCCGCCCCACCAGATCCCCGGTGGGCGGTTCTGGACTCACCAGGCCCCAGGTGAAAGCTCTTTGCAGGTTAAATGGCCCCAGCTGAGCCCCGGGAGCAGCCCGGTGATGGCTGAGCTGGGGTGGGAAGAGCAGGAGCAGAGGTACCGGTACCCCAAGGCACCCAGCGGAGCAGTGAACGCTGTCGTGAGGCATCCCGGTCCGTGCCTCAGTTTCTCTGTCTTGCACAGGCACACAGTAACAGTCACGGGGAGGTGGAGGTTCAGTCCCGGGCACTGTTTGGGCTCCTGGTGCTGCCAGAGTGACAGAGAAAGGTCCTTCTTCCTGCAGAAATACCCCCAACCCCAATGAAAGGCAGCAGAAGAACACCAAGAACAGGGGAAGCCCAGGGCAGGGCTGGGGCCGCCTGGGAGGGGGAGACGCAGGGGGCAGGACGGCCCATCGCTTCGGTAGGAGATGGGGAAGGAGGTTGGGGATGAAACTCATCTCTGCTGCCCGAGCCCCACCTTGGGCAGCAGCAGGAGGGCAACACGGAGGTGGGGACACAGCTGTCAGAGTGAGCCCGACCCGCCTGACCCTCAGCCTGTCTGTCCCAGCACCGGGTTTAGCTGACCCGGTGCCGCAAGGACTGGCCAAGGGCTGGTCACGCGTCCACCCCTCTCAGAACAACCTGGCTGTCACCAGACCGGTAGCCCTGCCTTCCCCCAGCCCGGTAGCGTCTCGGCGCCGGGCCCTGGCTGCAGCTCTGCGGGCAGCTGTGCAGCCTCCCCTGCCCACACGCCTTGTCCCAGCCACGCCGGGCTGCTCCCGCGAATCCCCGGGCTGCCCCGCGCTGCCCGGCTGGAAGCTCATCCTTCTGGGACGAGTCACGGGGACTGGCGATGCCGAAACGCTGCTGGGATGTCAAGTCCCCTGGCTTCCCTGGGGTTGGTGCACTTGGCGTCACCCTCCGTGCCACCTCCGTCTCCCCTGCCACCACCTCCCGGCTTTCTCTGCTGGGTGGGAGCTGCGTGATGGTGAGATGGTGGGAGGGGAAGTCCTGGGGGGAGAGAGGTGGCCAAGAGCCCCCCCGCAAGGGGAGGTGGGAACAGCCGTGGTCCCTGCTGGGTGGTGGCACTTGGTGGCAGGTGACAGCGATGACACATCTCACCTGAATTTGCGACAGGAGGCAGATCCACCACCAGTCAGGGCAGGGCAGGGCTTGAACTGCCCCCCAACCCTCCCACCCAAGTTGTCTCCCAACTGGGAGTCTCGGAGGGGCGACGGAGCCAGCAGCAAGCCGAAGCCGGGCCGCGTGTGCGTTTTAACAGGAGCTTTTTGAGCTGTGCTTTGCTTTCCACTTTGCAGGCAGGTGCTGCTCAGCTCCCCGGGGAGCCAGGGGGAAGCCACCCCCTTGTTCCAGCCCTGAGACTCCGCATCCGAAGGAGGAGGCTCCGGCCGGTCCAGCCATCCCCGCGAGGCTGGGTGTAATCCAGAGGGAGAGTGAAGCGAGCCAGAAGGATGCAGAAGGAAAGAGGCCGAGGCTAAACCTTCCCCTTCCCAAGGGGTCAGAGCAGGAATCACGTCACTCGTCACGTCGCTGTCTCGCTGCTCCCGTCCTCCACAATTAGTCTGGAAGCATAATTAGAAAATGCTTCTTGCGGCCTTGTGCGTAGGAGCAGCCTGATCTCTCAGCGTCTTCTCCCCTCCGTGAGCTCCGGTGTGACGGGCAGATCACCCCTACCACCCGGCTGCTGGTCCCTGGTGAACCTGCCTCCCTGCAGACGCCGCATCCCTGACCAAAATCGCTTTAATTAAGACTGCACTGGGCAGGTCCTGCATCTCCTCCTGACGCTGCAAGGCTGCAGCATCTCCCTGACATCTCTTTTCAGTGATTAAACAAGAAAAGGGACCATGACAACTATGGTACAGGCCTGAGCATTTGATATATGTTTATTGCTATTCAGGTGTAGCTGGGAATTTTGTGCATATTGGGTTTAGGTGGTTATCCAGACTCCTTGCACAGTGCTGCACAGCTCCAGAGCATCTCGTCTGCACGTCCGTGGCAAGCAGAAGGTGGCTGGGTTGGGTGGGTAGCGGCTGCAAAGCAGAGCAATGAACCAGCTGAAGTTAATACCACACTCGGTGGGAGCAGGGGAGTTAAAGCCTTGGTTGCTCAGTTTTTTTTTAGACCATTTGATCTCATCAGCAGGATCTGAAGTGCAGACTCTGACCCAGGGAATGTTCAGTGTCGTTATTTACAAATAAATCCAGCGTTCTCACTTGTCTCCTGCTACTTCGATAAGAGACGTTTACAGACAAACATCACCCTAACAGACAACAGCACGGGACAGTAAGAGGGAAAGATCTGCCACTACACACACTTTCTTTTTACTTTCCATTAGAATATTTTTTGAAATGTCACAGCTACCTCAGTAGCATTTGGAATGAGTAAATAATGTATTTGGATAGAGTATACTCTGATGCAAATGTACACGAGACCCCTGGAAAAGCTCACATCAAATACTGCATCATTAAAAATAATAATAATAAAAGCTATTTATGACACGGCCTTTATTCACAGAAAGATTTGCCCTGGGGATCTGTTTCTGCAGTTTGACTTGATGACAGACTCCCCCCCTCCTCTGCCCTGTAGTCCACGTCAGCCCAGACCCCACAGGACACGGAAAGAGGGAATAAAACCCCGCCGTGGGCAAAAGCTCCCCCAGCTCAGCCCCACGGGAGCCACCACCGCAACGATGCCGCAGGAGAAGGCGAAGCAATACAGCAAGGGGAAACGCCACTGTAGAGCTGAGCATACCGGGGGCCCAGGAGAGCCCCTCGCTGCTACGTGGGGACGGGCTGGTTTATTTTATCAGAGTCCGAGCAACAGGCACTGCCGCGCCGGCTCGCCCGGGCTGTGGGCAGCCGGCCCACCCTAAGGCACTGCAGTCACACACCCTCGCCCACGCTCCGGGTGCAGCCCCACGGGCAGCTGCATCTGACTTTCAACGCTTTAGCAGGACGTCAAGCGAGAATTTTACAAAACCCAGGACGCAGGACCAGTTCCTCTCTGCCCGGGTACCCTGGCGAGGATGGAGATCGCCCGCAGGCATCAGAGCGCAGGGGGCAACGAACACGCTTTGCGACCAGCTGCCGCTTCCTCAGAGTCCTTTGGTATCTTGAGTCGGCCCGACAGTGTCCCAGGAGCACTCGTGGATCAGCAGTGAGAAAACCCAGCTGGGGAGACACGGGAGCAGGTGGGAACTCACGTCCCGTAGTCCCAGAGCATGCCCGTGTCAGTCCCAGAGCGTGCCCGTGCACCACTGCGCCGGGACCGGACGGATGTGCAGCCTGGAGCCCTCTCCCCAGGAGGGTGCAGGAGAGACAAACTGTCCTGCGCTCCCCGGCACGAATGATTTGGCAAAGTCAGAGCCAGGACAGCTTGTCTTGAAAGGCTGGAGGAGAAGGGTCACGTAATTTTCCTTCTTCTTGGGCACTGATTGGTTCAAGTTTGTATCACAGTGAAGTCTGAGAAGTGGGGAAGAAACCCAAACCACCTTCCCTGAAAGAGAAAGCCTCACTAGCCCATCTCATTCAGGCTGGAGAGGACAGCCTCTCCTAGCCAGGCACGTCTGATCCGCTGCTGACCACGGAGGCTTCCATCGCTCGGTAGCAGGCGTTGGTCCTTCGCCCTCCAGCCAGCAGTCATGCTGGAGGAAAGCAGGCGGGCAAACCAGCCCTGTGCCACCGCCCGCCCGGGCTCACCCCCGGCGCCCATCCTCACACACAGGTAAACATAAAGAGAAACTACGAGGCACTAATAACTCAGATACGGGGAGACTCAGGCTTGCGACCGTCAAACCTGGCTCTGGAGGTCTTCGTCCAGCCGGAGAAAAGCCGAGTCCCCGTTTCAGATAGTCCCCGTTTCAGATCTCCGGCAGCGAGTGGCCGGGGTCGCTGCGTTCCCGCTTCACCAGCGGCTCCCCCATGCTCCGGGCATCCGTGTCCACCTCGCTGCCCAGGTCACTAATGTCATCTGCAGAGGACAGGTCTCAGCGTCAGAGTGGGGTCTGGAGGGGGAAAGATTCTTTTTGCCAAGAGAGCAGGGTGGAAGGGCCAGGACCAGGTTCCCCCTCCCACAGCGATTCAATCCCAACCCAGCAGGACTTCCCCGGAGGGAGAGGAGGTACCTTTGTCCAGCAGTGTTGGGGACAGGGATGTGAGGTCACCAAACTGCAAGAAAAAGGAGTTACAAGGTAAGTGAAGCTCATGGAGACCCACAGCGCCAGACCTGCAAGTCGGCATCTATTTCCCAACAATTCTAACAAGCAGCTGAAGTGCTCAGGAGAAACCACAAGCATCAGCAGTGCCGGTGGCGGAGGGCAGAAAGCAAAACCAAGCACATGATTTGGGGAGAAGTCTGTCACTGCCATTTAAACCTCTGGGCAAACACCACGGACAATGATCCGGGGCAGCATTGAGCTCTGGAACGAAGGAAGAGATTTTTCCATCTCCCAAGTCACGACCAAGGGCTGCCACAGACCAAAGGATGGTGCCTTTTCTCCATCGGGCAACTGCTCAGACATGCCAGCTATTCACCTCTCCTGGGACTCCACCATCACTCCACCTCTCTGCAAAGCCTTTGCTTTCATGTCAGGGGAGCGCTTTGGCTTGCAAGGCCACAGTTCCAAGCGTAACCAGAGAGCTGGGGATATATTTGGTTCTGGAGATGTGTTGTCTCCCTCTACGATGAGGTCTGAAACACTGAATTTCTACAACAATAATGCTGAAAATTCATGCAAAGTTGGGCAGCAGAAGGGACTGAGGAGAGCAGGAGTTACAAAGTGAGCAATGGAAACAGCAGGACATGATTCATCCTCTCTTGCTGGGAAGAATCAGCCTCCTCCTGGAGAACAGAGATATTGCAGGAGTTTAACGAAGGAAAGGCAAAACCTGTACGATTTTTACAAGGGCATGTAGCCATAGGACCAGGTGTAATGACTTTAGACTGAAAGAGGGGAGATTTAGATGAGATGGAAGGAAGGAATTCTTCACTATGAGGGTGGTGAGCCCCTGGCCCAGGCTGCCCAGAGGAGCTGTGGCTGCCCCCTCCCTGGCAGTGCTCAAGGCCAGGTTGGACGGGGCTGGGAGCACCCTGGGCTGGTGGAAGGGGGCCCTGCCCATGGCAGGGGGGTGGAACTGGGTGATCTATAAAGTCCCTTCCGACCCAAACCATTCCGTGATGATTCTATGGTTCTATGAAATCCTCCCACAGCTCGGTTTTGCTGGAAGCCGCTCTCTGCCTTTCATGTTCCTTTCATATCAATAAAGACCGAGGTTTGGCAGGGAATGGTGGGAACTCAGCATTGCTGACTTGGTGCAACAGCACGGGTGTGACGGGAGGGGAAGGGAAAGCAAAAGGGATGCAACTGCTTTGTCTGGCCCCCCTGTACGAGCTCCATGGAAGGAAGACAACAGCATGAGCTTCAAGGAGCAAATGGGATCAGTTTTAATCTCACAGTAGTTTCTATATTGCTGTCACAGGTTGATTAGGGGCTTTTATATCAGCGCATTTCAGAGTGCAAAAATGGATGTGGCTTCAGCTAGGCAGGACAGGATCTGCTTGCAAGCCAGGCACCAGATTTACTGTCTGATTTGTTTAAAAAAACCCAACCCCCGAAAAACAACCCATCATTTCTCTTCTTTAAGTCAAAACCAGAGAGTGGCTGACTGCACATGTAGCTCTGGAGCTTGCAGAGGCCTGAAGAAGCTCAGTGAATGGTACCCCTGCAAGTTGCAGGGAAAGTCACTTTCGGACCTTTTTTTGCTTGGTTTAGTTTTTGTGTCTGATGGGACTCTGCTCTGGCGGGACCCCCAGAGCTGGTTCCCACAGATTATGGAGAGAAGCGGGGAGATCCTCCCTCCTCCAGGCCTCCAAAGCCCAGCTGATGCTCAACTGCCCCAAGCCCCACCAGCTCAGGTATTAGCGAGCCACGATGAAAGAGGCTGGATCCTTCTGCCAGGCACTCAAAAAACTCAGTAAATCCTTTGGCAAAGATGGTTATAAAAACATATTCAGGCCATGGTGTGGCTTGTGAACCAACCGCATCTCTTTAAATGCTGCTTAGGGTGGGTTTGTTTCTAGGGAATAAACAATTCTCACCTCTCCCATTACAGCAATCGGTGTCTCCCCTGTTGCCTGGGCGACACGATGCTCCACCAGATAAAACATGTATTCATCGTAGAGCAGGCGAATCAGGTGGAAGGAACCAAAGCTGGCAGCACTGCGCAAGGTGAGGTCACGGATCACCATGGAGCTGGAAAATGGCCGGGAAACAAAATATTTGGGTTGTGCTTCACACTTGCATCAAGGCTGAAGTGAATTCTTCATCCTGAACGTACTGTGGGACACAGTGCTCTGTTTCTACCTCTAACCCAAGAGTGTCGAAGCACTTTAAGAAATTAGTTGACGGAGCATCCTCTCCCCACCCTGAAAGGATACAGGAGACACAACACTCGCTGCCGTACCAGGGCAGAGCAACAGTTAACTGGAGTTGCATGGGAGTAAAGAACTTGGCCTCGGCTTTTCAAGGAGCTATTTACATGCCCTAAGCCTGACGCAGAATTATCTCCAAAATGAGAAAGAAAATGTACCTATAGAAAGACCATTTCAACAGGAACTGCCTGGCTGCTTTGGGGAAGCTGGGACTGCCCTCATGATGCTTCAGAACTTGAGTAACAACATTATCCAGCCAACTCGCCCACTGGTCCAGAGAACTCTGCTGCTGCAGAGTGAGCTTGAAATCCTGCTCCAGCTTCTGTACCATGCCTTCCTCACACTGGCACACCCACGAGGCTTGCTCCTGCTCGGGAAGAAGGGTTGACAGTTACTTATGCCACGCCTGCATGGTTGCTGCATCCCAATCCAGGAATTCAGCTTCATTTGTAGTAGACAAGGACTCCACACCAGCTCTCAGTCATGTCTCCTCCAATCTATCCAGACCACAGTACAACACTATTATTAGAACTGTATTATTGTTGGCAGCACTAATTCCTTTACACCTTCTCCACTATTCACAGTGAGATGGCAAACTCACCTGGAAAAGTAACATCAAACCTGTTAAATTGTTCATTTAATTGCTTCTTAGTATTGGAAATCAGATGCTGGTGACCAGCAGACAACCTCATTATAGAGTCCCAGTTCTAGACAACACGACCTGGGAAAAGACACCGCAAGTTACCTGCACGTTGGCGAAGTCGACCCGATTGAGATCGCTGAGCATCTGGTTTATCTGGGACGTGTTCTGCAGCACCGCGCGGGCGGCCTGAGCCAGGTGGTTCAGGGACGTGTATCTCCGTAAGGTCTGCGCAAAGGCACTCACTACCCCGACCTGCAACACAGCACGCGGGGCAGCGCGAGCACGGGGCCACGGGCTGGAAGGTGAACTCCTCCCAACGCCGAGCTCAAGCACACAGCACACGTCACCCGGGGTGACCTGCACAGTCCCACCCACGCTGCTGTCCGAAGCATAGCAAACCAGCCTCTACATTTCTTTTCTTTAAACTAACGGGTTTTCACACTCTGCCTCCAGCAGAGGCCAGGAAGGTGACAATAGGCTGCAAGAATCCATTTAGGAGCGCAAGAGTAGGAGCCTTAGGTTCAGTTTCTGCAACGCCATGCAGTCCATGAGGTGTCCTGTGCTTTCTAGCAGGACAGCCTCATTCCAGGGCAGAGATTTTCTTCCACAAAGCTTTATCTGCAATTTCAGGACATAGGAATGGCTCAATGGACAGAGCATCATCGGCTTCTGGTACAAAGGAATTGCTCTACCTGTCCTCCCACTCCTTGCTGATTGTGGTTCATAATTATTCATTACACCGTGCTAGTCTGGAGTACGCGTGGCCAGACCCTGGCAGTGATTTTCAATCGCTGTGGAAAACTGTAACGCATGCACACACATGCACACACACACACACGCAGCTCGCATCCCTGACCCGCACGGTGCTCCCTCTGCTTACCTTGGTCTGGACAATCTGGGGGGGGAATTCACTCATTGCATTCATCAGCCACCCTTCCAAACTCTTGGCAAAATTACGAATCGCCTGTGTAAGCGTGCCTGCAAAGAAGTCTGCAGAGTTAGAAAGGCTGCTCCATACTGTCTTTTGACGTCACTTTCTAGCTTAGGACTGCTGTGGAAAGCACAGCCTCTGATCTGGTTAGCTGCGATCTTGATCTAGCATCAAGGAAATCAGCTGGGTCCCCAGATGCACTCAAACTTTTCATATTCTTATTCTTCTTATTATTCTTACCCTTATTCATGGTCTTCTGAGCAGTTTCCAAACGTTGAACTGTGCTCATTAAAGACACACACGTGCCCCGGCATGCAGACTGACAACAGCAGCTCAGAGGGACATGGCTTTCCAGCACTGCCCAGCTCAGCCTAGGGCTGAGCTGAGGCCCTGGGGAGGCTGACACACGCACTTCACTGAGGAGCCAAATCAGAGAGAAAACCCTCAATAACCCACCACTGATCTCCCAAATGAAAGTTGACCTGAAATATCCAGGAGGTGCAGTAGGGGACAGGATGGTCCTACGTAAACAACGATACTATCTCCAAGCAAACATCTCACAAGGATTAGCCGTGCTTACTTGTGCATTAAACCTATGCTTTTACCTTGACTCCCAGCCAAAGTCAGGAGATGTGATATGCAATAAACCAAATTTTGAAAGGCATGGGAATTTCCAGGAGCCACAAAGTACTGTCGACCCAGAGCAATGCTGCAGGAGGAATATTGCCGTTGCCATAATATTTTAGCTTCTATTCAAAACAAAAACCTCTAAATCAGTTTTTACAATGGAAATCTTTGTGGCAAGTGGTAGCCAGACCAAGTGAGTCATGGATTGCTGTTCGTCAGACACAACGTCCCGTGACTCAGCCCAGCGAGGAGCAGGAGCTGAGCAGGAGTTGGGACCACCCGTGTCCTCCCCAGCACACGGCAGGATACTCACTGGGCACTGGCCTGAGCACATCTGGGATGAGAATCTCCACCAGGGCCTGGTACAAGATGTGGTCACAGCTTCTCATCCATTTGAGGATGGGTTCGTATTTGCACAGAGTGATCAGCTTGTCTTTCGGGAGGGTTCCTTCGTGTTCTTCTTCGCTGCGGGAGGAAGAGGAGGGAGGCAGTGTTAGCAGCAGGTTTGCATTCAGTGCATTCACCCTTCCTCTTGATTTCTAACCCCAGTTTTCAGCTGAAAAAAGCCACTCATGTTTTCTTTCAAAAGGAAACATCTGATCGTTTGTACAAGTCCTCTCTGACTCTGCAAGCTCCTCTCTATCCATGGGTCAGAGCTCTGACCACAGTCAGTCCCTCAGATCCACACCTCCCTGTTCTTGGCCTTCACTTCTTCCCTCTTCAGCCTCGCTTGCCTTTTATACACCCTTGTTCATGTGTACCTGGGAATGGTACTTCAGCACAGTCATTTCAGCAAGCAAAGGCTTAGCTGGTTCCTCCTGACAGACCCAGCGATTTCCAAAAGCTTCACACCTCTCCCCTGTGCTCCAAACCTCCTCAGCTGTAGCCGTGGGGACACACGTTTGCAGTGAATGTCGTTGGAGCAGATTAGCTGCTACGGACAGATCCTACAAACAGTTTCCAGGTGTTCAACACCTTCAGATGCTGAATGTTTTCAGAAGGAAAAGGATTTGGTGTTTTGGTGAGAACAAACATATTGTCTCTAACTGAATGAGGTCAATCAAGCTTACTTTATTTTCACTTTATAGATGTATGGAAACTTTTTCTGCACGATTAAAGCATAAGGTATTTGGTAAAACGGCAAGCAGAGAAAACTGAAGCCTTAATGCATGGCCAGAGCATCAAAGCAGAGCTGCTTAGACACTGTGCTGGGAACTGGGAATTTGGCAGGGCCTCTCCCCATGCATTACACCAAAACCATTAAAGCCAATCCTTGGACATACTATAAAGAGGTACTTATAGGCTCTGCCTGGGTGGTTTCTGTAAATGAACTCCACAGGCATACTCCTAGAACACTCACATGGAGAAACTGGCCATCAAGCACCTAACCTTTCTGTTAAGTGAAACCATATTCTGCATTTTATCATGCTTTGAAACGCTTTGCCACTTTGATAATAGTTTGGTTTTATATTTGTACATATATAAAGAATAGAGAGGGAGTGCTTTATTTACCTATCTTGACTATTAGCAGTGGTACGGAGAGGTACTAGAGCACGCAGCCTCAGCAAGATACACTAGTTTAGGCAGAGCCCTGCAGAAATGCTGCCTCCAGTCCCCAAGGGAGCCTGCTTGTACCTAGCACAGCTCTCTCCGTGGTGTTGCAATACGCCTTGGAGATACACCCTGAAGTAACAGAGATTCTGAAACAATCAAACACAGCTATAGTGATTCTTTGTGGGAAAATACTCGTTGGGTAACATCTGCTAAGGACAACAGGGCCATATTCTACAGATTTTTATGGGGTATTTGCTTATTTCTCAAACTTTTATCATTTTTCTTTTGAATATAAAATGTCCGTAGCGGAAGTCCTTGTATTATCAGTAGAAGTGGACGATACAGATTTTTAATAGAAAACTTAAGAAGCAACCTTCACCTTTTCGGTTTTCTCTATTTTCACTTATTTTCATTCCTGTCTCTCGGCAGCAGACTACCAATGCACAAAGGATGAAGAAAAGGCAATAACCACGAGGCAGGCAGGAGTACAAAGATCAGAGTAGCTTCATTTGCCATTATCTGCCTCAAAACATGAGGCACTTCAAGATCTGGAGAGCCATCCAAAGAAGCGAGTCCGTCTAGATGTCACTAAAACCTCAGAGCCTGAGATGTCACTTGAGATCGATACCTAATGGCACCGAATCGTTACTGTCTGCTCCTGAGGACCACTCACGAAAGCAGCGTCCCACTGCCATTCATCTCCGCATTTTGGATTAGCACTTGTTATGAGGGGTAGAAGGCACACAGATGTGGGTAATCAGAGCAGATGCTTGCCTCAGAGGTCTGAACTTTGTGTGGTCATTACGATATTAAGCACTCCTGACACTCTTTGTAACGATTCTGCAGGGAAGCAAGTACTTTCAAGCCCTCCAAAGCCTTCAAAAAGCCTAATGAAGCTGAAAATACTTCATGCATTTTTAAAAGATGAAATACCACCAGAAAAATGGAGCATTCAGAAATAACCAAAGCACAGCACAGAACCACAGAATCACAGAACGCAGTGTACCTGGCTGGCAGGGCAGTAGAGCCATCACTAGATGGTGTTTTAGGACTCCAGAAGGACTGCCACAGTTTCTCAATATAATGAAACTGAAGATTCATTACAACATCCAAAGTCGCCTAACAACAAAGAACACAACTCATTAGCTGCTCTGCTAGCATCTTGTCACACGGTGTAAGCATAAATGTCACGTGCTGCCGTTTAGATTAAATAATATACAAGAAAAATAACAGAAAGGGCATTGTTTTAATAGCCAACACAACAAAAACAGATCACACAATGAAAAAATAATATGAAGTGCAATATTTGAGGTGCAATTCCTAGCAAATCAAGCTTTCCCTATTATATCCCAGCTTTTCCTAAGAGCAGGATATGAGACGAACAGATGAACTGTGTCCCACATCAGTTAATAAATCAATTAAAAAGTATAAATAATCACCTCGCAGTGCCGCCTGTAAAGAAGCTGCAGAGTTTTCACGTCATTCATGGTGACCCCTTCTTGCAGGAGGACGTTCCCTAGATCAGGGGCTGGGAACTCAGGAAAGACGTGGGTTACGTCTAAGGGAACATAAAAATGGGGAAAGATGGTGAGAGCCAGGAGCACTCAGTTCCACAGGACTACAGATGAGTACAAGGTGCCGCTGTCACTGGTGGCTATCTTTTGTGTTTCAACTGGGATGAAACAGGAGAAATACGACCGATAATCTAGCACTTCCCCTGATTCACGCTGTTATACTGGGCACAAAGCAAACAACCGCAGCCCATTTATTTAGTGGGGAAAGGAAAATGTTTTCTTTCTCTCTGCAACAAAAGAAGCAAGAATACGTTGTCCTCATCTACCACGCTTCCCACTAGATTTTCTCTGAAGCCTGAAAAATGTCTCTCTGGTATTTTGAGAGTACAATGGAAAATATAATTGGACAGCAGACATATCAGGAGCAACTGCATTTCAGAGAAGGCTCCGAGCTGGCCAGGATTTGGTGTCTCTCCTTGAATGATGGAGACACATAGAACCATGGCCAGCAAAGCCAGAGAGCTTCTCTCACAAGCAGAAGCTCCGTCCGGATCATCTGCAGTCAGATACATTTTGCAGCCTTTGCCCTGAAGAGAATCACTCCTCTCCCTCCGGCTGCCTGCCTTAGCGAGGCTCCACAGGGCCTCCCCTCCTCCCATCCAACTGGGATAAAACCAGATGGATTAAAAATATACAAAGAGGGAACCAACAGACCTGATGGCATAAGGAAAAAGCCTTCCTGTGGGTATAGGAGTAAGCAAATAGCCAGTGCGATGTCACAAGTGCTTATTAGAATACATACTATATAAAAAATACATATATATTACATATGTATAACATACAATACTGCAGATTTACCAGAAAAGCCAGCAAATGCAGAACAACCGGGGCTTGCTGGACAAGCCCTTGCCTCCTCTTGAAGCTATAAGCCTAGACATGAGATCTCTAACATATTACAGCAGTCTTCTCACCTATGAACTGCTGATGATGTTGACTCTGAGCAGCAACCGATTGCTCCGGCGTAGTGTGCGGGTTGCTGTTGGACCCGCTCTCTGCCATGCCGTCCATCTTCTGCGCTGGTCTATACCTAAAGAGCGTGGCTTGGGATTTACACAGGCACGAGCAAACACGTACGCGGTATTTGCAACGCAGTCATGCAGGATTCTGCATTCGTCATGTAACAGGTGAGGTCACATTCTAGGCCAGCATCCCGAGGGCTGACCATTTTTATCACCTGTTTAACTGGAGGGGGAAAATAAGAACCTCGTTTTGAAAAGCATCCCCCAAGACAGAATTAAAGGGGTTAAGATGTTTGGCCAAGGTGACACCAAAAAATAAAATGAGAAGCAGAGCTGGAGCGGGTGCCAGAGTGCAGACTCTCAGTCTCAGGAGCTGACCTCTGCATTCACTTTTTGTTTAGGAGCTGAAGAAATAAATTCTTCTGCTCCTTCTGCACTCCAGCAAGAACCAGAACTGTCTGCACTTCCAGGAGACAATTCCAAATTCCTTTGCACATTGTTTTTTATATTCAAAATTACTCAGACACAAGACTAACCACAGCAGTATTTAACTTGCACTGCTGCACAAAAAAAACCCCAAACAAAAACCAAAATGCACCACAGCACAACACAAGGCTGAGGTCCTAAACCAACTCGGTCAGAGGGACACCATGAAAAGCGGCACATATGGTGGCATTCTCTGTAGCAGCAGGCTGAATCAAGCCACTGGCAAACAGAATAGGCAGATAAATGCCATTTTAGGGCATCATAGAATAATTTGGGTTGGAATGGGACTTTAAATGCCATCTAGTCCAACCCCCTGGCCATGAGCAGGGACATTTTACTCGATGAGGCTGCTCAGAGCCCCGTCCAACCTGACCTTGAACGTTTCCAGGGATGAGGTATCTACTAGAATTGGTTTTGGACCCTTCCACCACTCAGTGCAGCCGGTGACCTGCAGCCCCCTCCTCCACAGCTCATCTCTGGCACGTCAGCAACACTTGGGTTTGAACTGTCCCAACACGCTCCCTTTGCTCCCAAGCCAAGCCCCCAGATGGGGTCTGCAGCTTTCTTTGGAAAGGACCCTTGTCTGTGGCAGCGTCGAGGGCACTGCTAGCGAGCTCCAAGACGCTGCGGTTCAGCGGAGACTCCGGTTTTAGACGGATCCCGTAATAATGATACTTGGAGTTTCCCCTGGAAGTGTCAGAGTTGAAATTGCTCAGTGTAAGCGAGTCAATGGAAGGGACATCGCAGCTCTGCAATTTACTCTCAGGCTTGTTTTGACAATACTCCCTGCATCTTACAGCACGCGTCAGTCTCCTGCCAAGTGCTATTTGCATGGCTGAACTAACAAACTAATGAATGCCATCTTCCTCTACAAAACTTCAAACCACGTCGCAAAGTTCACTGCCATCCACGTTAAAAACCCAGCAAGGTTTGTTCCAAGTAACCCATGGTAACTGGAGAAGAGACAAGTGTTACAATACCAAGTGTTACTAAAGAGAATGACAGAAAGACCTCAGGGGACACTTTGCTATTTGATTAGGGTTTAAGGATTTGTTTTTTCCATAAAAGCAAACTTCCATCTTTATCTAGAGTTGGATAAAACAAGGCTGACTGAGTAGTCAACCATGATAAGAAAAACGTCTTTCTGTTGCCAGCACTTTCACAGCAACGGCAACGGGGTTTGATGTGGCTTTGTTCTTGGAGTCGCTGATTTTCGCAGCTTTTGTAAAAACTGAAAGCTGTTTGCTGTAATTCTTTTTCCTTTGCTGGTCTGTTCAGCTGCTGTGATGCTCCTTAGGAAAATGTGTTTCCATCACATTAGACAGATGTGTCAGTTAAAGTTTTTCCACCAAACTGGAATTTCTCAATCCCCAAATGTCTGCTTTTGGGAGCGAGGAGGACAATTATGCAGCCATGGATACATGACGACAGTATGTCCAACTCGACCTCAGCCAGTTTGCCGCTAACAACGGTTGAGCGGAGTCCTCAGCGGGAGAGGAGAGCGAGCCAGGGGAGCAGCAGCAGGGACTCCAGAGCCCTCTCATTGGGGATGCTTAAAATCCATTTGCTGTGTCACTATGGCAGGGTCTGGAGGCACCTTAAACCCAGTGACGCTTCCCATTGGAAAATTACGTAGAGAAATCTAAGCAATTTTTGTCAAAGAATTAACCCTTCCTTCCTTGTTGGGGGAATTTTCTCTTTTCAAGGCGATGCCTGAAATGTTCAGCCTTTGTACCACAGGGTTTTACACACACCGAGTGCTCGGGTATGAACTACGCTTTGGCCATGTCTTCAGTGATTTTAAGTGCCTGTAAACTAACTAACAGCTGCATTTATAATCTAAACGAAAGAATAAGAAAATAACGGTAGACAGCTCTTTCGATAGTTTTTGAGGTTTACTGTATCCTTCCCAGCCTGCACATTTGTGAGTTTCAGTGGATTGTTTGCTTGTTTGATTTTTCTTTAATCCTTCATAGGATTAAAGAATTCCTCTCCTCTTCAGAAATTATTTCAGAGTTCTTGCACTCAAACCAGTCTACAGAAATCCAAACTCTCCCCTGCTCTTCCTATGACTGTTGCCTCCACGTTCCAGCTGTGGAATGCCCCAGTCACATCTGGTTTTGTTATCATCTAGAAGCCCAAATTTTATTATAAGATCTTACAATCAGAGCAATCACTGTTTCTCTAGTGTATCAGCTATTTTTTTTAAAGTAGAAGCTGGGACAAAATGCAAACTCAGCTCTGCAAGCTGTGCAGATGCTTTGGATGCTCGCTTGAAGGACACATAGGTAATTACAGAAGTATACTTTCTTATATTACTGTAACATCATATGGATCTTTGACGTTTTAAAAGAAAAAATTCTGTCGGAAGATTTTAAGAAATAAGCCATTTACATCTGTACAGCTTGTCTGCATCAAAGATGCGGGCACAGGTTCTGTTCTCATCCGTGACGGAGGAACTTTATTGGACCCAAAGTGAGCAACCGTTTCACTGCACCGGAATTTTGGGCTCTGCAGCTGGCAGTGGCAATCGTGAAGACAAGTCACTTCACCTTTTTGAGACAGTAATGGAATGAGAAGCCTGGGTTCAAATAAAATCTTCTTAGATTCCTTAGGAAATGGACTTAGACCAAATTCCACCGCATGGCTGGACACGGCATTGTCACCGTGACCTGAAGTGTGTCTGAAATGAACTGTATTGTCACGCCTCTCACACCGCCGATCCACAGTGAGAAAGCAGCTTTGCCTCACAACACACGGAAATTACTTCTGTTCCTCAGAATAGCAAATTCTTTTTTCCCATAACATCATGGTTTGTTGTTTCTGTAGATCTCAGAAGAAAGACCTGCGCCTGCTAAACAATGCTTGGTCGGTTCTCAGTGTGCATGAGAGAAGTTGTAGGTACCTTTTCATTTTAAATATAGATTCATACCAACCTGGTTCCCAGGCGGCGAGTCCTCAGCCCCATGAACACCGAACGGATCAGTTTTCCGAAGGAAGCGGCGTTCACCGGATCCAGTTTGTGCTCCTGGCAGTGCCGCAGGTAATGGTTGTAGAGAGAGCTCCTGGGAAGGCTGACGCCTTCCGCCGTCTCGTAGTTATCCAGCAACCACTGGAGCTTTATGTATGGAAAACATAAATAAATAAAGAACACATGAAAGTCTAAAGAGGGCTGGAACAGGCTGTGTCACACAGTGTCAATGCTTTAATGTCAGGAGAGCCCATCTCACAATAAGAGTTCAAGAGAACTTAATTCTGGGTAGTCAGTTGATATAGGTTAATTTATATAATGCCAGTTCTATTTTCATCAAAGCCATAGGACCCCCAGCCCAAAGCTAATCACCCCAACAAAAATGCTGTCAGCTTTTGCAAGAGCATTAAAACATGGTCCGCCTGCCATCTCAGTGTCCACCCTGGATTCGGCTGAATTCCTGCAGAGCCAAAATAAAGCTGTAAGATCTCCTGTTTTCCAAGAATAAAGATGTTAAGATACCGCCTAGGAAGAATAAATTTTAGGGGAACCAAATATGCTGCAAAGTGTTTATTAATTTCAAGATCGGCATGTCTGCAACTGTTCCCTTAAGAATAAAATTAATGGTTACTAAAGCAACCTTAAAAATATGAGGTGTCCATCTATTTTTCAAAACTTACTGTCTGAACTTCTTCTGACACTTCTGTTGATTAAAGTTCGCAATTAGATAAAAATCATTTATACCCAGCCGGTCTGAAAGGGCAGGCCCGGCACAAAATATCAGCACAGGAATTAAAATGCAAAAAGACAAAATCCCCAATCTCCTTTAGTTGGCTAAACGACTTCAGCATCAATAAACTAAGTGTTATATTAAGTACATTTCTGGAGGAACTAGATGTACAAATGGACTAAACTCAATAGCTTTGGTAAGAGTCCTTACGTTGTCGTTAGGGATATCTGGGATTAAGATTTTCCAGAGTGCCCTCTCCCCCCAGCCCCCAGCCCCGCATGCATCAGGGGCACAGCTCTGCCAGAAGCAGCCGCTTTCGCACCGGATCAGTGGCAAAACCCACTCCGGTTATGGATGCCAAAACACCAGCCACATCATCTCCTTACAAGGAGTTCAATCACGCATTGTAATTAAGCACAAACTTCGTCTGGAAATCAGTGGGAGTTAACCATGCCCATGGGTGCACAAGTTGGTCTATGCCTGAGTCCCCTCCACTCGTACTCCAGTACACGACTCTTTTCTACCATCTTCTCTCGGTGAAACTCTGAAGTCCCAATTCACCTCTACATTACTTGAGTTTTATTTCAATAACTCTGTGAAAACACAACCTGAAACGTGCAATGACATCTCTGACACCTCACTCCACCGAGTTATTTTCAGTTTCTGTATTTGTCTTTACAGTTTAGGTATTTCTATTTTCAGTTTAGGTATTTCATATCCAACTTTGGTCTCTCACAAATGCTTTTCCATGCCTATGAATCTATGTTCTACGGTTATCATTCATATATCCGCATTTAAATTTCTACTGCATAAAATGAGCTGAACCTAAAGCTGCACGGTTAAAACTATTTCACTCCTCAGCTGGGTTTGATCCAAAGCAACCACCAGCTCAGATGACTGGACCCACCAGTTTTGGTGGCCCTCGGGGCAGCCCAGGGGTTGCCACAGCTGGAAGAAGAAAACCATCTTGGCCATTTTCCCCTCTGTCCTGCTTTTCGCAGAGCCGCTCGTCACCTTCCCACCCTCCTCCATCGCCACATCACCTGCGACACCCTTTGATGTGGTTTTCCGCAGATGAAGATCTTTCTGACCCCCAAACCCTCCAGTCCGAAGAGGCGATGTTTGCCTCCGGTCCGTGGGCCTGCCTGCTGTCATCTGCAGAAGGGACATCGCGGGGAAGCCCTGAAAGCCTGTTCTGCAGCCCTGAGCCTCCCGGCCAACCCACCCATCAAGCTCTCTTGAACAAAAGTGGAGCCAGTGTTTTTGACACAAAAGACCAGCAGGATCTCTGTTTTTAAGCAGTCCACATCTAGGCTGATTTTGGCCCATCCCTTCTATTTAAAAGATTAATAATTAAGAAGGTTAATTTCTTTTTAACTATTTATTTTGTTTATCCAGTGGGAGATACTGAATGTGGATCAGCTACTTATTTTCTCTGCCTGTTCTAATTCCAAGTCTTAAAAAATACGAAAAGTTGCATGTTACTATGGAAAATTCAGATATAGATAAAACCCTCTCATTTAAATTTTATACTGGACATTTTTAGTCTGATCCCAGATATTTCTAGAATATTCCCTTCATCTTCCAGCTTTCTGCTTCTGCAAGTGTTTGCAGAACACTTCTATTCCTTTAAACATTACAGAATTTCACAGTATGAACTCCCACTATTGAAATTAGAAATTTATTATGAAATGCACAAAAGAGCTTAAAGAAGAAATGTGTCAGAATATAAATAATTTTCAAAACATGATTTCTGCTCTTCCTGCACTAGTAATAACAGGCCGGGCACTTAAAATGAGAACATTTAAGATTCTTTCCATTTGCATCCCTTGTTCTGTTTACTTCTTGGCTTTTGCTTGGTTGTGACAATGACAAGATACTCGACAGTCTCGTTTCTGTTTATACTGCGAGGAGGTTCCAATAAAATCACTACGCACCCATATGCTGCTTTGTTTGCACTACAGGGGAACATTTCCATCACATTTCTACTTCAACTTTATTGCTATTGACTGTTTGTTTTGATTTAACAGAAGAAATCATCTGTAGCCCACCTTTCTCCACTGAGCAGGAGATCGATCCTGCATTAAGTCATTACATTCCTCTCCTCGCCAAGGGAGAATTATTCCCTTTAACGGTTTTCCTATTTCTCCGTTCAGTTTCACTTTAGGTGTTTCTACCTAAACATCATTTGGGGGTAAGATCTCTTCCTCCGAGGAAAACTCCATCGCACTCAGCTAAGAGGCATTCACCCACAGGGAAGAAGTCCAGGGGGTTTAGGGGGGGTTTGAGTTGAGTTCTGAGGAGGGGGGGATTGTTTTAAGGGCAGTGAGGAAAATATACATTTTCCTCCTACTCCTCTGAGGACTACGGATATCTGGAGCGGCAGGGCCTCAGGCGGGTATGCTGCGGCATCCAACCGCTTCCTTACATGCCCAGCTTTCGGCACTCGTGTACGAAAATTGTAGTTATTTGCCTAAAACTTCTTTGCATCATTGGCGAGGTGCTAACTGGTGAAGCAGTCATCCTCTGGCCCAGCGACTCTGGAGCACACTCGTGAGTAAAGCTTTTTCAGGAACAGTAATGGATTGACATGGTTTCATTAGAAACCCGATGTGTCACTGGGGTATTAACACTAGCTTGGGCTTCCAAATCTGGTATTTCAAGTGCACTTAAATAACCTCTCAGAGAGTTTCTGAGGCTAAATTAAGTTATCAAGTGTGGCTCCGTTCCACATCGACTTCGCTTAAACAGCAGTATGTAAAAAATCCCCTCTTGACTGAAAACCTTTAGTTTTCCTTTTTTTTAAGAAAAAAATAAACCCTTCAAGAATTCCTGGCGTTAAACATCCGCTGACGGTAACAAAATAAACCATCATCTTAAGAACTTGCAGATTTGCAAAATGTGAAGTTTAAAATGAGGGACACAACACGAAAAATTCTGCAACCTTAAGACTAAAAGCAACTCAGTCACAACTAACAGAGCAGTTAGCATTATCTAACAACTCCCCGGCTACTCGCCTCGCCAAGCTCGCATTCTGCTTTCAGCCTTGGTACACCACTGTCCCCTGCTGCTTCCCTTTCTGGTTCTCGTGTGCAAGCCTGACAATATCGCGCTCCAGGCACACCGGCACTTGGGAGAGGTCATCCTCAGTCTGGTTTGGGGTTTTTTTTTAATGTGAAGAGGTGGGAACCACAACACCCCAGCGAGCAGCAGCCCTTGTAGCGCAGCATGTGCCAGGGAACACGTGCAGAGAGGTTCAGTGCTGCCTGCTCATCGGGCTGTCCCGGACACCGGGGCTGGGAGCAACCTCTGGGAGCCTCCAGTCTCCAGGCGGGAGATGCCCCATCCCTGGAAACATTCAAGGCCAGGCTGGACGGGGCTCTGAGCAACCTGATCCAGTGGAAGATGTCCCTGCTTATGGCTGGGCGGTAGGACTGGATGGCCTGGAAAGGTCCCTTCCAACCCAAACCATTCTATGATGATTCTGCGATTCCAGTCCAGACTTCTACTCAAGTCAGGGGTTGCTCCCCAGGGAGGTCAGGTCGCTCGGTCCAGCCGAATGGCTCGTTGAGTCCTGAGAACCTCCCCAGGCAGAGGACGTGCAGCCTCTCTGGGCAACGGCACCAACCTTCCTCCAGCTCTGGAGAGGGATTGCCTGATCTGCTTCTGCCATGTGCCACATTTCCTACGGGTACTGCTCGTACCATCGCCTCCTCCTCATTCCCACGTGTCCGCAGACATCGCTGCGCGCTCCGGGAAGGCAGAGCAAGGATGCCGGAGGAGCATGGGGCAGCAAAGGCCCTGCAGGTTTCCTTGGCTCGGGCTCTGTGCCTTGGCCGGGGGAATTGCCCACCCCAGCCCTGGGGCCAGACGTTGCGTGTGCCTGGACTGACATCCCCAGTGGAGAGCTGATGTGTACACACGTGCTTACGGAGTAGTTTATTTGCTTTAGAATTTGTAAGAGTACTTAAGCGTTATGCCAAACTATGAACCGTGACCTGAGAGACATTATGTTCTTTACTTCTACCCTGGAAGACAAGGGTGGGGAAGATCTGATCAGTGGCTGGATCGGGCCCCAGCTCCATCCTGCACAGCCTGCGGTCACATGAAATCTCTTTTCTATCTTCGCTTTCTTTCCTCTGACCTTTTCCTGCTTTTTTTTTTCAAACCTCCTTCCATGCCACACCACGACCCACCCCGTCCTGCTCTGCTCTGTCCCTCTCTGCGCTGGGACAAACAAGAAAAAATCTGCAGAGGATTATCCTCAGCCAAGTCCACGCGGCACTCGGGGCACGGCACAGGTGTGTCAGCGCGGCCACAGCCTGGGACTGCACGAAGGATGCACAGAGATGCTCAGATCAGGAACTACCAGCCTGATTCTGCAGCTTCGTGTTTCCCCAGCTACAACCAGGAACCTTCAGTTTCTAGAAGCTGAAATAAGGATCGAGCTCATCCAGGAGCCCTGGCTTGGAGTTTGGCATCAGCTTAAGAGACTCAGACCGTTCCTTTCATTCTCTCAGGCTACTTCTCTAGGGTGAAGAGGGCAAAGATTTTTTTTTGCAGGACCTAAGAATGACAACAGATCTGTCCCCAGATGCAAAGCAAAAGGAAATCTGTTAGAATAAAGAAGTACCACTTTACGCACTGCAGTTTATCAGTGCAGAACATGCTTCAGCCTAATCCAAAGCACAGTGAAGTCAAGGCAAGTCCAATGACTTCAACAGGACTTGAATTAGACCCTTCAAATCTCACACAAGCATGTGCTCACCGTTAAGCATTACCACATGGAAGCCAGAAACCATGATGCAGAAGGCCCAGTAGGATAGTGGGAACTTCACACAAAGCAGGGAACTTGTTGGCACAGTGAGAAGAGAGAGGTCTAGCAGACGGATTTAGCACAGCATTGTAACAGTCAGGACCTTCCTGAGGCACTGAATGAGGCAATATAGGCACAGGAGCAGGCTTTTGGTACCCACTATCTAAGGGCTATCTGTCATGATTCAGGCCAAGTTATTCTGTCGAATTGCAAGACGTTTTCCAGCCAGCTTTCAATTTCAGTGAAAATAACGAACTTCCTCAAATGTGTTTATCTAATTGCCAGCAATTTCCATTGCAAGGCAGAAGAAACAAACACAGGGTAGCGGCAGTTAACAGAATTCAGAGCATCTCATAAACAAACATTCACATCATGGCACTTTTTGCAGATTATTTTTTCTTGGAAACGGGCTGCTTTGGGCAGCACAGCTGAATCACAGGCTGCTGTAAATGGCCTGTGTTGTCGAATACACCAAAGGGCTACAAGTAATGCTCCTACCAAAGCGGGAAAGAGGTTGTAAATTCCGATTGCAACTTACATGACTGTTGAGCAAACTGCTTTTGTGTGATGTAATCCCTTCATTTTTTTGTAGGTTTTCAATCGCCATTTCAAGCTAAAGAAAATGTGCACAGGGAAAAAGAAAAAGGAAAAAAGAAAAAGAAAGGGAATCAGACAGTTAGCAACAGCCAGGATTATTGTTTCTTTATTAATATTTGAATGATTAATGTTTTATATCAACAAGCTTGTGAAAAAGAGGCAAACAGATGAGGCACAGTCCTTATGAGATGAAGCTGCAGAGACATCATGGTATGGCATGCAAACTAACAACACGGCAAGAATCCCTATGAGGGTGGAAGAGAGAGACAAGAGGGCTTTTGATCTTCCTCTGTAGGCATCGCCCATTTACAAAAGAGAAGCCGTTTTCCTTCTCCTTCCCCCTTCATGCCTAAACCAAAACACCACCAGACAGATACGCTGCAGCAGGTCAGAGGAGGTTTGCTACAGAGAAGGTGCATTTCACCCAGCCCTTTCAAGGAAAACCGGAATTAATGACTTCGGTTATTATTATTTCTTAAAATTTTGACAAAAACCTAACGGCAACTAACTAAAACAGGGGCACAAGGAGGGCTGACACGCAGAATGCATAAGCTGGAATGGAGAAGAGTTTTTTGCTACTGAAGCGAACTGCAAAGGGACTCTGAAGGAAGAAGACAGGTTTCAGTTAAGCGAGCTTCTTCCCGCTAAGAAAGGCTGGCACATCCTGATGCTAGTTGTGCTCATCTCCACTGTCCTCAGAGCTTCTGCGAGCACAGGCATGGCGAGGCATTCAGGGCCCTGAAGAACCCCCTTGCTTTCCTCTGCCCTTGCCTAGCTTCTCGTCTACACTCAGCCCAGCTATGGCTCCTGCCTTGTGCCCAGACCCTCTCCTGGACCCATCTTGTCTTCTTTCTGCTCCTGGGGCTACCTTGGCAATCTCTGGTAAAATACTTCGCAGATGGCTGCTGGTTCCAGAGCTCTAGTGCTCTTGAGCACAAGCTTTTTGCAAGTGAGGAAGGAAAAAATGAAACCAAAGCAAAAAAAAAAACCACATTAAGGGACCATCAGGAGCAGAACCTGCTGTTTCTCTCCAGTAGATGTTCTTCAAACCCTGTTATCTGTGACCTGTTAGTGTAGGCAGGACAAGGCAGCACACAGCAGCCAGTAAAAATCGCAGTTGGCAGCTATCTCTAGCATCTGTCCTCATCGAACATGCGTGGTCATGCATTGGTCTGTAGGCACATGCACAAAGCATCGCATCTGCTCAACGATCTGTCAACGGCCTCCTTCACGTACTAGTTAGCTCCCTGTACTCCAGTTTGCACTGACTCATGGCATGGTGAAGACAGAGATAACCCCAGCCATTTACAAAACCAAGCGCTGTCAGAAAGGTGAGAGAACAGAATGAATCAGATCTAACTTCTGAAGTTACGTTCGACAACCAAAGACACAGTCTGTGGCACATCCACGTCTGAACGTGATACTCTGTCCAAACACCTCTAGCGCACGGCCCTTGGTTTCCATCCAGAAGTGCCATCACTGTAGCACTTGTCAAGAAGCTATCACCGCATTCAAAACAGGGTCACTCTAAGACTATGTGTCAGTGGGGTTTTTTTGAGAAAATCGTCTAGCACACCATGATGTCTCATGAGGAACCAAAGACTGATTGCTGATGCAGCCTTCAGGAAATGAGTCAGTGCTGGAGGGAGACACCGTTTCCTTCCTCTGCTCAGGGAGCAGCGCAGTGCCACTTGAGCAACAGCTCTTACACAAGCGCAGAAACACGGCCTGCCCTTCTGGCATTCTGGTAAGTGTCCCATACAAATGGACACCTTGCATCTGCAGAAAAAAATATTACAGGCAAAAGACAAAAAGCTCTTAAACAGCCCTGCATGAAGGTGAGGAGCTCTGAGGACCCACTTCTGGGAGGTCTCCAGGATTTCCTGAAGATTACTAGTACTCTGTTGGCACAGACATTGAACAGGACTGCTTCATGCGCTGTTTCAGCCCATTCGATGGAGCAGAACATCATTATTCCAGCAGATATGGAAGATGGGTTTCTTTAAATATTTGAAGATTTTATTTCAGTGCACACAGTCCTCACCAAACATCCCTCAGCCTCCTGAGGCAGCTCTTAACACCATTGCTACCTCTGAAGTGCTACTTTGTTTGCAGCCTCTCCTTGCTTTTCGAGGTCTCAGTGCCGGCTCTGCCTCGAGCATTCAACACCCTCTGAGCCCTCTCGCTTCGCCATTCCTTGCAGCTGCCTCTCGCATTGCCAAGCCCTCACACTGCTGACCACTTTGACATCCACCTGCTCTCCACTACAGCCCCAAGGCCACATGCGAACACTGTGGCTTCCTTGGCTACATCTGCATGAGCTGTACTTTTCTGTCTCTCCACAAAGCTCTTAATCCTGCCCCAAACACATTTTGCCAGGACTATAGCCTCTCTGGTCTCTTTAACAACAGCCTTTCATATTCTCTGTTGAAGCAAGACATCGCAATGAAAAATAATGTTCCTACCTATTGATTCGATTTAGTCAGTTCTGTCCTTAAGCCTTCCACTATCTGTCCACCCAATATTACGTGAAATTCGAAGCAGTTACCGTGGCTCTGCTCTGTCCCCATCTGACTCTGGTCTGTGCTGAAAGAACTGAAAGACACATAGACACATCCCTACACTGTCGTCCTTGCACTATTTCACCCTCTTGAGCTCCTCCGCAAGAGCCACAGACATTTTGTGTTAAAATACCTCCTGAAAGTTCATTCCTACATGCAACAGAGTGAATTTATTTCAGGTGCATTTTCATAAATGTCACTTCCTAAACTCTTTTTTTCCTGAACAGCTTTATCTCATGTGATAGGCAGCTACGAACTAAATCTCCTCATGGGACATTTCTATTGACACATATTCTACTCAGGCTTTTTTCATAGTGCCCATCACCATGGAAATAAAAAAAAATAAAAACAACAACCAAGAGTAATTTTGTGCAGCTTTGCAAGATGCATTCCCACGCAGGTGACAAGATCAGCAGCTACCTCCTTCAAAATAACAAGCCTGAGTGAAAATCAGAGGATGGCCCAACGCTAGTTTTTAACTATGAAGAGTTGTCCTGCTTTCGGCTGGGATAATTTTCTTTCTGGTAGCTGGTCTAGTGCTGGTTTTTTTGATTTGGGATGAAAATAATGTTGATAATATACTGATGTTTTCAGTTGTTGCTAGGCTGTCAAGGATTTTGCAGCTTCTGGCGCTGGCCTGGCCTGCTAGCTACAGGGGAAGCTGGGAGGGGGCAGAGCCGGGACAGTTGACCCAAAGTGGCCACAGGGCTATCCCACACCACAGGCCATCAGGCTCAGCACCCAGCTGGGGGAGCTGGCTGGGGAGCAGTGATCACTGCTCGAGGATGGGCTGAGTATCGTTCACCAGGCGGTGAGCAATTCCTTTTGTGCATCACTTGTTTTGTATATATTATTATTATTGTTGTTGTTATTATTATTATTTCTTCTTTTGCTTTCCTATTAAACTGTCTTTATCTCAGCCCATGAGTTTTTACTTTTTCCCATTTTCCTCCCTATCCCACAGGGGGTGAGAGGGGGAGTGAGCAAGCGGCTGTCTGGTGTTTAGTTGCTGGCTGGGGTTAAACCATGACAACAGCTGAAATACACACACACACAATTCTCACACAGGAATGCACCCCGGGTAATCCAGATATGTCTGTCATCTTCTTTTCCACCCAAAGCTAAGGACATTTCCCCGCAGATAGCTACTTCTACCTAAGGCAGAGCATATTTACTCTAGGATCAAAGGCAACCTTTCAAGGCACAAAGATTCAAAGAAACATGAAGTCTGTATTCTAAAACTCGGTGGGAAAAGAAAGTACAACCTAACCAGCTGGATTTTCAGCAGCGCTCGGTAGCAAATGGCTCCTGTTTTTCTCCCTGGGTGGTGCTGTTCACATTTTAAAGTCTGGCCACATACACTGAATTACACCTACATTTGTAATTCTGTTTACATACAAACATATAAACACACATAAGTCTGTCTGAAAAGGAAGGTGAGCAGAGCTCCAACCCACTCCTGGCTGCAGCTGCTCCTAAGGGCTGGCAGATTCCCAGAGAAAAGCCCTGGTAGCTTCTAGCTGCAGAAAGGCCGTTTTTGGTTACCAGTTGTATCCCCCTGAGTCCCACAGAGCTGCACAGCTGTGCACCTGGCACCTTGATTGGCAGTTGGAGGGAGACGATTAAAAAAAATTAACAGTTTTAAAACATTTCTGTTTGATCCCCATTATCCCTACAATACATTTTCTGTAACATATGGCATGGAAAGAATACACAATGGTGTAGAAGATACATACAAAGACTTTTCGATCACTGCATTTGGCATGATCAGCTCGACATACCTTATGTGCTAATTATCCACTTTGTTAGGAATGGATTTTTCAGGTGTCTTCGTAATTAAAAATATATTTATATATTTCTTTATTTTGGGTAAGCCAAGGCCCATGTTCAGGTATTATACTTGTCAGAAAATGTAAATATCGACAATTCTTTTGAATTGAAAAGCCAAAACATTTTGCTCAGGGGAAAAAAAAAACCTAAACCCCTGAGAATCTGATCTCCATGCTGCATCATTTCAGTGATCCACTCAGAAAGTTTGACAAGCCTCTGCCCACCAGCAAGAGAGACATCCCAAAGTCCCGTTGAAAAATATCTGTAGTACACCAGTGTCTATTCTCTCGCTTGCCTTCACATGGCATGTTATACAGACATATACACAGCGATAACGATAGGAAGTTTTATTTTCTGAAGGCTTTTCAGTTCCCTTGGAATAATTCCTGGCCCCCGAGCTGCAACATCTGCAGGGCTACATACCGTTGCTGGAGAGGAGCGTGAAGTATGTGACAGAGAATGTCTAGTGTTTTCCATCCCCCCATGAATGAGATAGGCTCCCGAGCCGGAGAGGATCGGACTTCCCCCAATGTCCATGGTGATGCCCACCATGTTGTGAGAGGGAATGGCTGTAGGAGAGGATGCCGCTGTAGTCACCTGAGCTCCACCTCCCTGCGGTTCGAAATAGGATGCTGTGCTGCTGGGGGCGTAAATCTGAGCTTCGGTGTTGTAGGAGTAGGCGGCTCGTCTGTCAAAGAAACGATAGGGTCAGGAGGTGGAGAGGAACTTGCAGATCTAACCTCATGGACAATGGTTTCCAAAATCTGGAGCACCTTTTACAAAGACTCTGTCGTTGGTGGGATTTGCTCCATTGAAACTGAACCCTGCCGAGCTGCTCTGCAGCCATCGTACGAAACCTCAGTGCAGAAGGCTGAGAGTATCCCAGAGAGCAGCAGGCCCAAAGCTGGGAGCACAGCAGAGAGGAGGAAGAGGAAACCTTACAAAAACCCCCTGTTCCTCTAGCAGTTATGGTCTGGCTCCTAAAGGTGCCCTACCTCACTACACAACGGGCAGAGGAAAATACCAGACCCTTTTATGCAGAGGAGAGGCGGATTCCCTGGAGAACAGTCCCTCCGTGACGACAACACCTCCCCCAAAGCTGGAGGCTGGCTGAAACTACCCCCACGCACACAAGGTAGCATGTGCACCGGTTCCTCCTCTTCCTCCTTCCAACAGCGGGCAGTGCCAGCAGCAGCGCCGGGGTGGAAGGAGCCTGGGAGGACCCAGCTGGGAGGGGAACAGGGGCTCTGCTACAGCCAACAAGACTCTTACATGGTTCCATTGGTATAAACAGCTTCTCCTCCTTCCACATACTGGACCTGGGATGGATATACATGCTGCACAGATTGCACCTGAAACAAACATCATAACCTCGAGTTACAGATATGTTATTGCCTAGGAACAGAGGGAGAAATCGCACATTACATCCTTTAAACAACTTTCAACCTTACCTTGACATTTAGGCTTTCCTTTTAAAAGAAAAAGAAAACCAAAACAAACCAAGACCCACATGCTTAGGAATCCCAAAGGGCGTATTTATTTTAAAAGGTCAAATTAAAATAAATAAATAAGTAGTCGCTCCATGAGCAGTGGAAACAATGGAGCTGGGTTTCCTCTGCACACATGTCTCAGGGCTGGTTCTCTGCTGACTAATCAGGGTGAGATCATGCTGCAGCCTCTCTGTCAGAGAGGAGGTTGACAGTCTCCATCTGCACCCCAATCCCCTTTGTTATTGGTCTGGGAGGGACATAGTTGCCCTCTGTCAAGTTTTTTTTCTGAAACTGAGCAGCCAAATAAAAAATTGCTAGAGGAAAAAGTCAAGAGAGTCAGACCCACTGTCCACATGAAGTAGCGCCACATATGCCAGGTTTCTTAGGAAACAAGGACGGCAAAAGGCAAAGTTCAGATAAATAAAAACACTTGCATGGCTCTCTGTCACCTACCCTTTCTATGAAGCCACATGCAGTCAGTACATTTATTTGTGTAATCAAAAAAATCCCAAACGCTTTGCCTCTAAAAAAATCTTTACAGAGGAGAACTGCTTTTAAATGGCAGTAAAAGCATCCATCAAATCTTCAAATGTATGAAAGACAACTGCTACAGGAAAGGTTCTTTCTAAACTTTAAATATCTTGAGAGTTCCTTTTGCCATCAGTCTAAGGAAGGAAGAGAGAGATGGAGAAAGCTGCTCTCACAGTGATCTTCAGTCCTCTAATTGCACACGACTCTTTCACCAAGAGCTTGGATTTTTCTAAGGAGCTGTCTGGCACAGTTTCACATGTCGTGTGGGACGTGAGGTCCTGTTGACACAGGGTCCCTGCACGGTGTCTCACCCCGGAGATATTACCTCTGCGCTCCTTTGGGAGCGGAGCCTGCTGCTTGGACCAAAACCCTCTGAAAGAAGAAGACACAGTAACACACACTTACTATCGGTCTGTAACACTGGTGAGTCAGGTATTCTCTTTCAACTTTCATGGAAAGCTTGCCCTCTAGTCCACAGGCAGCAGTACCCCTTACTTAGCATCCCTGCGGTCCCCATCCTGATGCAGTCTGCACTGGACACCTGCCTGAACTCCGTACCCTAAACCTGGGAAAAGCAGAGAGCTGAATTCCTGTTTTCTGACATGGCCCATCTTTAAGCCTCCAGGTCAGGAAATAACAGCAAACAGTCGATTGACAGGAGGAGCTCAACATGAAGTTCAGTCGCAGCTAAACAAGAACCATTCCTCACACATTCGCATTTTCCTCCTAGGGCTGCAAAGTTTCTTCTCTTACGGCTGCTATACCAAACCATGCTCTGCCTCCTGCGACATGAAATCACTCTCTCCAAGGCACCACAGTCTTTATGGTTTCTACCAGCACCAAAGCACAGATGGTTCTGCACCTCCTTTCAGTGCCACCAAGGGCACAGAAACGCTTTGGGTTGCCCTGCAGTGGTCATTCTGAAGACCGTCCTCTACCTCTCCACTGTCGTTTCCATCGTCCCCCTGCTCTTTGTGTTACGCTCAGCATTCCTTCTGAGGTTGGACACGCATCCTGTAGAGCGCTCAGCACCTTGCAGATCCAGCAAAACAAGAGTGGGGACGCAGTGGATGGAAAGAAACGATTCAGTGAGGCCCATGGGAACAGAGCTTGGGATAGCAGCATGAAAGTGAGAAAGGAAACGCTCAAGCCAAAGATCAGCATGGCCTTTTAAACTGATGAGGACCTTCTCCAAGGAGACAGTCATCCTCTGCCTTGAGGCTTTAAAAATACCAGCAGATTGGGCTACCAGAGAAAAAACTGCAAAGCAATCCCACAGGAATCCTAGAAGAGACCTTGACAATTACTGGCTACCTTATATTTATGATTTTTAGCTCTCTGACACCCTCCCAGCATGCACTTTGTAACTAGCCAGAAATTCTATTCTAGCAGAATTATAGGAATATGATAATTGCCCAGATTTCTAGGCAGTCTCTACATCCAGTCCCCAGGCTGACCTTCAGTGAGTCTGGATACATTGGAGATCTTGCAGCTGAGCTAGCGATACGGACACATACACTTAGCCAGCCACCGCTTTGTCCATTTTCTCTCCAAAAGACCTTGTAACCAGTGCACGATGGGAACATAAAAAGCCCTTTTTAAAGTCAGGCCTTGGCAATGCCACCTGCACAAAAGTCTCAGCAAGATCTGTTCCTTTCTCCTACTTTTTACCTATTCTCTGTCGTCGTTTTTACCAAACGACACATCTCCTTCTGTGGCACAGCTGCCCAGCTCAGCTCCTTGTGTAATTTGTCACCGCCTGTCCGGTTGCTCCTGCCACCTTCCAACCAAAAAAATGAATCATCCCCAACCTGTAAGATGAAGCCATCCTGTTCATACAGCCTTCGCTCACACTGAAAGGTAGACCAGTGATCAACACCACCAACGGCTTCAGCCTCACACCAGTCATGCTGCCAGCAGTTCATTCCTAGTATTTCCTTTGTGCTGCTGGTGAGAAGGGAAGGCTCTGGACGCTCCTCCTCTTCAGCAATCTTCCACTATCCTCTGGGTCTTCCTTAATCCATGGAGTTCCACTCGATACTATGTGTCATGATGACAGAACCGGCAAAGGCTGGATGGATAATTTCATAATCCAAAACTGATGGGTTTTCTAAACTTCTTTAAGATGTTGTCACAGCCAAATTCACGCTAATCACTGACGACCCCTAAGACACTTGACACTACTGATCAGCGGTATCTGCATCATTATAATGCAAACAAGAAACGTCACCCAGAGAAACTGAAGATGGGAAGGCTGAAAGATGACAGCGAGCCGGCCAACCACACGCCAAACCACACGATGTGAATGTCCAAGTCTCCTGGTGAACTGAATGCTCCTACCACAATTTTTAATTGTTCCTTTTCACCGGCATCCAATGGCAACTACTTCTGCTCATTTGGGAGTTGGAGAAGGGTGTAGCTAAGTTACACCCAACCGTCCTCTTATCCCTTCGGCTTCCTGCGACAGAAACTTCTTTTGATAGTTCCCCAAATGGCATAAAAAGGAACCAGTTTTGTTTAACCCTTCCCCTTTTGCATTTGGTAGTTTTCATTCATCAGCTGCAGCTATCATTTCTGTCCTATCAGGAGATCTCCCAAGTGCATCATATTCACGCACATGAATCACGCATCCCCCCTCCCCAAATTCAAATGTCAGGATCTACCTACCAAAGGAAGACACCAGCTTCACCCCCTCCCCACCGCAGCACTCTCCCCTCCCCCATCTCTTCTCCATCCAGCTTGGCACCCCATTTGCAGAGCTGCCTTTAAGAACAGTTTTTGTCCTGCTTTTATTGACACACCAAATAATGTCACCAGCATATTATGCTGAAGCAAACACCAAACTAGCGTGAAATCGCCTCCTTGGGTAGCTAAGTTAAAATCTAAACCTCATGTTCTAAAGCTCGCATATTCGTAGGGCTAACCCATGAAATATCTATGGCCTTTATCAACACAAAGTCCAGCAACAGGTTCTCCCCGCCACCTCAACGAGCTGAGTAACAATCCTCTCCCCATACAAAAAACCCTGGACTACAATACATCTGCCAGTAAAACAGGTCTCTTCTCCATGGAAACGGCATTCCCAGCTGTGCATACGTTACCTGCTGAGACGCTGGCACTGGCTGCACTACCGGAGCTTGGGCTGATGCAGAAGTGTGAAGTGCCACCGAAGCTGCCGAGTCTGATCCACCCTCTGAACTCTGCATGCTCACTGCTGGGGAGAGCGGAGGGGAGATCAGCCGGGGAAAGCAGAGCTACGCACCGCAGCAAGCGCCCGAGGAACCCACGGTTGACAGGAACAAAATCCCAGTGGAAGATCCAGGGGAAGGGCTAGGAAGGAAGGTAGCTACCTTCCTACACAGAGGACTCGTTTTAGTCTTGGAGCTAATTTTAATACAGTATTCTATTAAGAAAAAAGAAAGTTGCACAATTGTTCCACAGAAAGGAGAGGGAAGGAACAGAAAATGCACTTCTAAATATAACTGAAAAGTAGCATTGGAAAATTATTGTGTCATACCGAGGACAACTTCAGATCTGGAAGAGTAAGAGCGTATTTTAAAAATCATTTTTTCTACCCCTCTGCCTTATCATGTTTAACTACTGCAAAAAAAGAAAAAAAAATCCAATCTAAGTATATGGCTGGAGCTTAGCTAATGCTTTCATTTGGAAAGTGGGGTGGTCAATGTGGGTTTATAATCACAACTGACAATCAAATACAGAGATTAACCATCATTTTAAAACCCACAAACCACCCTCGCAAAGAACCACCTCCCCTGCCCCATCGGTGCGCTTGCCCCAAACCCCATCAGCCTCACCAGGGTCCCCAACCACCGCCACGCGCCATCGCCCTCCGGTCCTGCTCCCGCCCTGACACCCGATGGAGCTGATGCCCTCAGCATCTTCAAGTCACTCGGGTGCTTCTGTCCCAGCACTCACCCAGCATCGCTCAGCCACCTTGGGAAGCATCCCAAGGGCCATGGGGGAACGTCCTGGGGACGGCGAGGTGGCACGAGCACGGGGCTGAGCCCCTGCCCTGCAGCAGAGGCTCTGCATCCCCCGGGTCTCCTCGCTCCCTCGCGGGGCCCGCCCGAGGGACACCGCGGGATGCTGCCATGGCACTTCCCAAGAGCAGCAGATGTCATTTGGGGGTTTTTGATGTAATATGGAGGGGTGGGGGAGCCTTTTTTACTCAGTTTCTTGAAAAAGTTCCTGTTTAAAAAATTATTTTAAGAGGGTGGCTGCTGTCACTTCAAAAGATTCAGAAACATCCAGATTTTGAGCAGTGTCATTTCTCCTTTCTCAGGCTCACTGCTGAGCATAATGCAGCCTCCAAATAACGGCACGAAATCTTTTCCATTTTTATTTCCCTTCTGCATCCAATATTTAAGCTTTTTCCTCAACTTTGTGCAAGTTAAGAGGCAAAAGAAAAGATGAGAAACCGAGGGATGCTGGGCCCTGCTCATTCGATAGCTCTTTGAGGTAAAAAGAAAGGCAAGGTGGAGGTGAAGTTACAGAATTTACAAAAGTTACCTGCTTATTCTCCTTCAGCCACTGAAAAAAAACCCATATATTTAGATTCTTCAAAAAACTGTTTTTAAAGATTTTTTTTCCAGTCAGTGCTGACCCCATATTCCCATGCTACCCACTAGCAAATTACACCAATTACTCTCCCGACATCCCCCAAACCCCACAGCTTGCCAGTAATTTTCATTTTCACATCATCTTTCTTGCATCCAGGAGAAAGACTAGACACAGACCGCACACACTCACTGCTCCAAATACAACTACCAGATTAATTTAACAAGCCAGAAACAAGGTAAAGAAATTTAGTCACTATTTATCACCATTCGTGTCCCGTCGCAGGCCTCAAGTCCGCCGGCAGCAGACGCGCCCGACCCCATTCCCGGCAGCCCCACGATGTCAAGGCAGCGCCTGCTTCTCCCCATCGCTGCCTCCGCGGGGTTTTTAGCCCAAACCTCTTTGTCAGAAGACACCAGTTGCAATAGCGCTGTGGGATCATGAAAATGATAATTTTGGTAGTAAATTAACAAAATAGCCTCCTGCCTGTTCCAGCCCCAAATCCTTTGCAGCTGAACATCTGGCCAGCACTGTGGGCAAAGGAGGCAGGTCTATACAGCTCACGTGAAGATGCTCAGGCAGAAGAGAGGGGTCACTTTTAGCAACGTACTCCCCCAACTTTTGCAAGGGTGTTTTATTGTCTACCCCTTGCACCGCGGGCTCCGGTTCACAGCTTTCTAGGGTTTTGCGAGCAGAAAAATATAGCACGGTGAGGTTACAGAAGAAAGGTGGGTAAGCTGCCAAATGTGTTTTAATGATCAGTTGGAGAATAGTTCTGGCAGGGTCAATCTCAGCATTTCAGGTCGACAGCAAGGTCTCTTTTCAAGTGTACTTCTAATCAGAAAAGGACACTCGGAAGAGATGCTATCTCACAATCACCACCTACTCATCTCTGCTGATAAATTTTGTCTTCTGGTTTCCCTCAGAGACCAAAAGAGACCAGAGAGAGGCAGGCAGGGTGGAAGATGAATTGTCTGCTGCCAAAATAAATCATCAACATTACTTTCAGATTTGTTACAAAACACAGGCTCTGTTAATGATGGCAACCAAGCCAGACACAAAGACCCCAATGAAATCTGCAGCTGGTACTTCCAGACAAGGTAGACAGACACAGAACCACCGGACTGCCAAGGCACACGTACAAGACTTCTTATTATTTCGTTTATCAGTGAAACATCCTGGATAAAGCATAATTCATTTCCCATTAAAGCCATCCTGCGCTTCCTGAGCATTGGAGAGACAGGTACGTGTGCGCCATCTGCTAACGTTAATTTGTGCTGATGAAAAGCTGACAGTGTAAACAGAATTCCTACGCTCCGAGAAACCACCGTGAAGTGCCACAAAGCTTTCCCGACATCCTGGGAGCACAGCTACCAAGTGAGCCGGCGCCCGAGCCAAGGCTCCAGAGGATGGATAAAGAACCCGCTTTCAGGGAGGAGAAGAAACGTGGCATGCGAAGTCTTGCTCTTCCCTCTTCTCGGGAGCTGTGCGTGCAACGTGAGGAACGCTCCCGCAGCTCCTTGATCAACATCGGCTGGGGGGGGGGGGGGGCGTGCAACGTGAGGAACGCTCCCGCAGCTCCTTGATCAACATCGGCTGCTGGAGCTGGGCCGTCTGCTTGTGCAGTTCTGCCACCTCCCTAACGCAAACACCCATGAAAGGACTCACTGTTCTCCTTCAAACTCATTTTTCACCTCTCACAGAGGAGGAAGTTTTACAGCCTTCTTGACCATCCTCTCCTAACAGAGACTCAGTGGCTCAAAAGCGAGTCCCCCTGTTTCCCAAAGATCTAAGATTCGCTGCCTTCCTCTTCGACCCGCTCTAAGAAAGAGAGCTTCATCCCAGCCACGCTTGCTTCCCGCTCCTGGCTGGGGGAGAACGCTGTAGCTCTCACAGCAGAAGTGACCGACAGCAGCTATTAAAAGGTGTCTTGCAGCTCCTGACAGCAGGTGAAAGCCTGACAGCTTGGCAGCCCCCCGGTACCGGGGAGTTTGCACAAACTGAGAATCTAATTAGCAGTCAGCAAAGCTGCTGGTGGGTCCCAGAGAGGATCAGCATCCACAGCTGACTTTCTCAGCTCTGGGGCTCCTTACCGGGTCAAGAAGAGCAGAAAGACAAGTCGATTATTTTTGCCAGGGGGTTGAGCAGACGGGACCTGACCATACCTAAGGAACAAAACCGCGGTGAGGAGGGCCCGACTCAGACGTTGGCGTTTCAGGTAGAGGCAAGTTTAAAACTACAGTTGCTCAACCCAGCCGGTGACGTCACGTGCAGCATCACGGCTCACGACCATGGAAGGCACTGCAGAAATCCGAATTCCAGGTTGCATCATCACTGAATGAATCAGGCAGACAGCAAGGCTGCCGGGCTCTGGAAACCTTCTGTTTACACACAGCTGCCTCGGTATCCAAGCAAACAGCGGTAACAGGAAAGGAAATACAGAAAAAACCTAATAACTTCTGGGTGCTATTTCTGGTTCTGCCACCAGCTTGCTCCGTGACCTTGAAGAGCATGCTTCCCCTTCCCCGCGCTCCAATTTTCCCACTCCTAAAAGAGCCACGATACTCCCCTAGGTAAGCATTTTTTGAGCGCTGGTCTCAGAGGGCTGTCAAAGTCTGAATGCATTTGAGAGGGACAAGTAGTAATGTTACAAGCCTCGGGGGCTGATAAAAACTCCAGTTGTCACCGTTTCATTCATAAGCCATGTTGCCTTCATGTAAATAGCCTTGCCTTTGTTAATCTCTCCTGCCTAAACCAGCTCCAAAATGCTGGGAAAACAGAGATAAGAGGAGCATTTTAAAATATATTTCACATTCAAGTTTGCAGTGAGAGGGGGGAGCAAAGGAGGAGGCGGCAGAAGGCTATCACACAGCTTTCTCCCGCGAGTCGCCTTCGAGTGCCGGGAAGGGAAAGCAGCAGCATCCCCTGCACCGGTTCCCCAGCTCCCGAAAAGTGCTCGGGGCGGGAGACCCCCCGGGAGGGTGCGGGTGCCCTTGGGTGCTCGGTCTGTGCTGCAGCCCACGAGCTCTGCCATCCAGGAGAAGAGGAGGAACTGCAAGTATTTTTCCACAGAATGTTTCAATATAAACTATCAGCTCCTGAACACTCAAACAAAAACACTTCGGAGCTAAACTCCAAGACCTCAAACTTCTAGTAAGTGCTGCTGATTAGAGCCAGAGCAGGGAGTCTGTCCCGGGGAAATGTTTGGTTTATTTTTCTGCAGTGCTCTGGTCCTCACGCCACGGGCCGTGCAGCACACGGCTCAGCTGAATGCCAGCGGCCAGCCCCGAGACTTCAAATTAAACAAGATTTCAGTCCCTGCCTTCCTCAGGCCCAGGGTCGCTTCGGTTGTAATCGCGGGCAGACCTACTCGGTGTTTCTACACTAGAAGAAAATATCATTTGAAGTGAATACAACTCTCCCTCCCTGCCTTATTTTTATTTTTTAAGAGCAGCCTTACATAAATCAGGGGTGGGACTGGCACAGTCTTGGCTCTCGTGGAGTATTTAGCTCTTATATTTACATATCTTTAATTTTTTAAGGTGAAAATGTTAAACATATTAGCTACCCCACACCAGTGAATGCTCGTTTTAATGCAGAATAATCATATAATCCTATTAGTGTTGAT